CCTGTTGTATATAAAAACTTCGGAACATGACAGGGAAAGAAGATGAGACACTGACAGGTTACATTCCAACTGGCCTTTTCAACTTCTCTCTTTGTGTTTATTAATTTCCCGTAGAATCTGTTTGCTCTGTCACACGACGAGGATCCTGAAGTGCGTAAGCATGTCTGCCAAGCGCTGGTCATGCTCCTAGAAGTCCGGATAGACAAGCTGCTGCCGCACATGAATAACATCATCGAGGTAAAAAAAAAACCACATTCCGCTTGTGGAAATAGTGACGAGACATGTTGATGATTGTGTAGTCCCTCCCCTCCATCATTAATAGGCAGGTTTTTCTTGAGATTGTAGTGAGGTCTCTGTTTGCACGTCAGTTTGTTTGGTCTTACAATGCTGTGTGTCACTCGCTGTCTGATCAGCAAGTGTGAAACACAAAGGGAATGGTCAGTTTTTTTACCTGCTTCTCTGGTCCTTTTTTTAAATTTTGGATTGACAGGATAAACAGGGAATGAATGGCCAAACATTTAGAAAGGGATTTCATCTACCGATACGCTGACAATATCAACACATTGAACTGTCTGCAGATCAGTGCCACCCTGGCAATGAACTGCGGAGAACAGAGAAACTTAACAAGCATATGTAGACATGACAAGCACAGAGTCCACCTCTCAATGACAGGGATGAACAGACCTTAAACTGAATAGTAGTCATAGTATTTACATGTGCATGTGTCATGTGTGTGGGATACAAAGCCATCGAGCCACAAACGGGGGGGGGGTGTTTCTGACTGTAGGCTGTCGCTTTGAATTGCGCTGTTGCATGTATCACACAGCATGTACAGTATTCATGTTTGGGATCACTGCATGTAATGCATGTATCTGGGTAACTGTTTTCAGTTTTCTGAGGGGACTTGCATTTCTGCATGATGGTATTTCAGAGAGCTGCACTGAAGGGGTTCGGCAATGGCTTTTCTCTCAGGTTTGCATCCTGCGTCAGGTTGTTCCCTTCTTCAGTGAGCGGAACTTATTTGGCATCCTGGCATTGCCTGGGGTGTAGAATTTGTCCATTCTTTTCAAGACGGGGGGATGCTGTTTATAATCTTTTTTTTTCTTTCAGATTGCGAGTCCGACATTTGCTGAATAAAAACTTTTCCGATGAAGGGTTACATGTGAGCTTATTGCCATGTACTTACGATTGCAATAAATCACTAGGGGAAAGGAAATTTAGAACAGCAAAATAACAAACATTCCAGCAGTTGTTATATGCACAAATCATGGAACAGTTGGAGGTTGTCGACACAGAATGACATCACAGTCTTACTCATGAATATGAAAATCTGCATCAGCATAAGAATATACCTTTTAAAACAGCTAAATAAAAACCTGAAAGAGCCCCATGAAGAAAGAGGTTGTTTGAAACACAAAAGAACTTTTTCAAGGGTTGTCGAAAATGCTTGTCCTTGACCCTTTAATTTACTGCAGTGCTTGCCGTAAGTATAGGTCTGTTAGGCTCATCTTTGGCTATGCATGGTATGCCGGTGTGAAGCTTCTGAATAGCTCTGCTGTTGAAAGGCTGTCTTCCCATCATGTGTTGTATTCCCGGTCATGCGTTGAGAAGATTTCGGCCGTGGTTAAAAGTCAACATTGGGCACGTCAATGTTGGTTCTTGGTCCAAGAAGACACGAACGTTGTGGGGATTCAGAATGCAGTTGTGAGGAGGGGACCAAAAAATCATGGTCTGCTGAGGGAACTTGACTGGGATGTTGACAGACACTGAGAGTGGCTACTTACCATTATTTATAGATTTGTACATGTGCATGAACATGTATCTGTGATAGCATATTTCTTGAATTCCATATATAATGCGCTTGCCCAGGCAATCACTTGGCCACTTACACTTCTCAAATACCTTCAACAGAGCTCAGCACTGTGGCTACGTAATTTATGAATTGCATTTGATTTGGGGTACTGAATATTCATTTTGTGTGCTGTACAAGCACCAAAATTGGTCAGATTTTTTAAGAGCCAAGTTAGATTTCTGCCTTTATATTTCTTTAGTTTTGCATTCAACTTTGGACAAATCTAGCCAAGCATGGCTGTTCCCAGCTGTCTTGCTGTACAGTCTCTGATGGACTCGATTCTTTTTTTTCTGCACGTTACAGTACATCCTACTGCGGACTCAAGATCAGGACGAGACGGTGGCCTTGGAGGCCTGCGAGTTCTGGCTGACGTTAGCCGAGCAGCCCATCTGCAGGGAAGTCTTGGCTGGGCATTTGAACAGGTAGTGCTGGCAGTCCTCTCTGACAGTTCATAAAGTGGTCACTGATGCCTGAGTCGGGGACTTGATTTGTTTTATCCATCCCTCTTTTGCCTTGGTATTCACCAGAAATCATTTGCACTTGGTGGTAGTGTCTAGATTCTAAGTCCAGCATTTACCCATCGCTTTTTCCTTCGATTTCACAGAATGATGCCATAATCTCCTGATCATTTGTTTGAAGAAATGAAAACCATTTGTAGCTGGCCTGTGCTGAGGGGGCCGTCTTGATCTTTGTTTCTTTGAAGGCTCGTTCCTGTTCTGGTGCGTGGCATGAAGTACTCGGAGATTGACATCATCCTCCTGAAGGGCGACGTGGAAGAAGACGAGATGATACCCGACAACGAGCAGGACATCAAGCCAAGATTCCACAAGTCCAAGACTCATGCGCAGCAGCACTCGGTGGAGGAAGACGACGACAGGGCAGACGTGAGTGGCAAGGGCTGGACGGTCAGAGGGAATGTCGGTGGAGGGCTCACAGAGAAGGGTTGTGAAGGGGGGGGGAAGGGACGGAGCAAGGAAAGGCCAGAGTTGATGGCAAGCTAAGACAGGGTTCTCACCGTCGAGGAAAAAATTGAAAAATCTTGGGGAAGGGGGGAAGTTGTCCTGGAGAGTCACGGAGAGTTTGAGGAAAAATAGTTTGCTTGGAATCTTTTCATCGGGGAAAAAAAGGAGAAATCAGTATCACCACGGGGTTATTATTGATGTGCAACTATTTATGTGTTAACAGAATAATGATAAACTTTTAATACAGGCGATATCCTTGTCAGTTTGGAGTAGCGGATGTGGCAGTCTTCAAGTTCACAATACCAAACAACTTGTCTCTGCATAATGGCGTTAAATGTCACGGAAATTGTCATACCCTAGCCCTGGAAAGTCATGGAATTTGGTTTCAGATCACTGTGGGATCTCTGTTAAGATCTTCTGTGCCTAGGAGGAAGGGAGGGAGGAAAAATAAGAAGGCCGGGGGGGGGGTCAGATGGGAAGGAGAGCATATTTTGAAAGGGGAACAGACGGAGAGGTGACAACCAACTAAAAGATGCCCTCTGCCCGTGGCGCACATGCAGGAGGACCATCAAATCATTCCATAAGTCCACCACACTTTCAGAACTCGGGAGTAGAGGATGGGGCTGTGAAAAATCCAATGATCACGAGATGGGCTCGTGTGTGAGACTGGATAAAAATTACTGTACTCCTTTCCAGGGGTTAAATGAGCTGGAGTTAATTTTTGAGCATTTTTCGCATTAGGATTCTGGCTCAGACTATGGCATGGATGACGACGATGCACTTTCGGATTGGAACTTGAGTAAGTCCTGATTCCTGCACTGTCAGTTATACTTTGCCCTGAATTACTTTTCCCGTATCAACGTAATGCATTTTATAAGGGAATTATCAAATTTCCAAAGTTAATTGTTGAAACTTTCGTGAATTGGGAATTGAACCTGTGGTTTGGAACGTGTTTCTTTCACTACCAGGCCTTGTGAGTGTTGCCTCACTTGTCAATATCTTTGTCCTGAAAGCACTACCCTTTGTTTCAAATTAATCTCTTGATCAAGATAAAAATTGAATTTCTGAGCAGTTCTACATGCCTCCGCATGCTGTTTCTGTGTTACTAGAGCTGTGCAATGGATTCAACAAAAAAAAATTTTTTCAGGGAAGTGTTCGGCGGCTGCTCTGGATGTTTTGGCCAACGTGTTCCGAGACGACTTGATGCCGGTCCTGCTGCCCATCCTGAAGGAGACTCTCTTCCATCCAGAGTGGGAGGTCAAGGAGTCGGGAATTCTTGTCCTGGGCGCCATCGCTGAAGGTGAGCATCTCCCGTTAGGGTTGCTGGTGGAGGAGCTCACTGGAGATTGACAGATGGTTAGATCAGACAGATCATGTTGCACTGGGGTGGTTGAAACACCAGATCCAGTCGAGTCAAAACAGCAAACGTTTGCAGCCTGACACATTTGCTTAAGTTATGATCTGAAGTGAATAAGCTGTAAGGTCTGTACTGGACAGGAAACCTAGTTTCAGGCAACATTTCTGTCAGTGTCTTCTCATGCAATTTTGTCAAAAGCACTTTGCCAGAATGATATCAAAGGGTCAGTTATTTTTCACTTTCAACTGACACCGTACTCTTGGTAACGAGTGGTGAGACTGTATTTCATGAGGATACAGTGACCTTGTGCTCATGTCGGTATGGACTCTAAATCTCGGCTGTCCTCACAGACGTCCTTGCCCTCTTCCCCTTCCAAGTTTAGTCTAATTGTGTATCTGGATGTTGTTAATTCCCACTGGCGTAGGATGTGCCAATGCGATGGTCCCCCACCTGCCGGAGCTGATCCCCTACCTGATCAACTGCCTGGCCGACAAGAAGGCCCTAGTCCGGTCCATCACCTGCTGGACGCTCAGCCGCTACTCCCACTGGATTGTCAATCAGCCCCATGAATTGTACCTGCAACGTCTCATGTCAGAGGTGAGAATGTTCAGCCCTTCCAAGGCCAGTTTTATTGGATAATGTTGCAGGTTGAAGTCTTTTCAGATGCCAAAAAAGGCGAAGTTCTTGTCAAAATTGAAGAAGACATGCTCAGCTATAAGAACGATTGTTGTACTCTGTAATCTTTGCATCCTTAAAAGTTGTTTCGGTCATCATCGTACTTGAATTCAGAATAGGAAGTTGCCAGAGTTGTGTATGTAGGACCTCAGAGTCTTGGTTTAGTCTCAATCCTTTCTTCTCCAAGTGTATCTTGTCACATGGCTGTTTAATTGTTTGTCTACAAACTTTTTCAACATTTGTCTTTGCCTTTCATCATTATCACCCGTTTGAGTAGCGGTTCCATTTGTTGTCTTGAATTCTTGCCGCATGCCTTGCTGTGATGTGACCTTCTCTAGTCCCAACTGCCATTCCAGGGCACTTGGAAGGGCTGATGCTCTTCACAGACTTTTGTATAAAAAAAGTTTTACTGAGCTACAGATGCGCATGGTAACACTTGCTACTGTGATCGATGCTTGTTCAGAGCAGCTGAGTCATTCAGTAGTGTTGACTATTATTTTTCAAGTGAACTCTGAATCCAACGACTGCTGGACAAAAAAATTGTCAGGCATCCCGACATGAAGTGCGAAACGTTTGTGGTAGTACCATGGGAGCTAATCTCTGTTACAAGTTGTGTGGTTCTGTGGAAAGCCAGTTGTGACTAGACTTTTTGAGCTTTGACTTTTTTTGCTCTGTCAGTCACCAGGAGACTGACGAGTGCACTGGTCAAACACTGGCTTTAAATGATTGGTTCTTCTCGGAACCACACAGGGAAAGAGATTAACTTCTGCGGTGTGAAAGCAGACCCTCCATACCGGGTTCATGTCCACCATGCAGACCTACGAGTGTCATGCACCCTGACGTAGCTACCCCTCTCAGAGGCGATGGGATGAGTCAAGAGTAATTCCGTGTCTGCTGACAGTGGGATGCTGTCAGTTGTCTCGAACGAGAAGAATAACAGAACGCTAACATCAAAGATTTTTCGCTCGTGACTGATCCTCCTGTCCAATTTTTTCAGCTCCTGAAGAGAATTCTGGACACCAACAAGCGAGTGCAGGAGGCGGCGTGCAGCGCCTTTGCCACGCTGGAGGAGGAGGCCTGCACGGAGCTGGTCCCTTACCTGGGCTTCATCCTGCAGACGTTGGTCTTTGCCTTCAGCAAGTACCAGCACAAGAACCTGCTGATACTGTATGACGCCATCGGCACGCTGGCCGATTCCGTGGGGCATCACCTGAATAAACCGGTGAGCGGATACGGTGACGTCATGGTTTCAAAGATCATTGCTGTCACTGGAGGAAAACCGTCAATGGAAAGCTTGTCGTGAGAAACTGGACCTTTCCCATGAAATATGCAAATTGGACGGGCGCATGTGAACTAGTACCACTGGTTGGCAAGTGGAGCCGTCAACGCTGTCGGTAGTGTAGGCGAGCTGCTAGTAACCATAACCTGGAGCGTTGACGGTCAGTTAAAACCATATTACAGCCTTTGCCCGATACTTGAGCACGCTTTTCTCGAAACTAAGTGAAGTTTTCAGTGTCCTGAGGTCGGAAAGTAACAGTTCCTTGTCTTTAAGTTTGGCACTTATGTCAAACTATACTAGCACAGAAACGGCGATTGTGACGCGCGCGCATGGAGACTTGTATTACTACGTCAAAGATTTAAGCAACTTTGCCAGCCAGTGGTAGTAATGCGCATGCACCTGCCTTATTTGCATATTTCATGGGAAGGGTCCATTCGCAGTTTCCCTGTGCCTAGCGCAGCTCCAGCATCTATGCTCGCTCCTCCAGCATGGGCTGTCGCTTGTGTTTCGCTTAGACTTGGGCTCTGATTGCATCAGCGGGGTGTGAAACTTTTTTTCATGAGTGTCACCGTGTGCTATTTTGGAAGAGTTAGTGATGGAAAGATAATTAACTCCATTTTTTTCTCGTACAAATTCACATAAATCCCAACCTTTATAAAGTGATTCTCTGAGCCGATGAACATTAAAACGTTCTTTTTGAGAAATGAAAATAAAAGATGAAAAACTCGGTTCTGTTGTCAGTTGTGGTGCCAGTGCTGATGTACAGAATATAAGGCTGAAAAATCTCCATTGATGGGCAATCCAATCGACGTACTAGCAACTCCGGTTCACAAACATTGCTAGCAATGAGACAACTTTAACTGCTGTGTCCTCAACTCGATCATTTGACTTCTCCCCCACTTTCCCACTCTTTTTTCCCACCACCCAGGAATACATCAACATGCTGATGCCGCCCCTGCTGGAGAAATGGAACTCCCTCAAGGACGAGGACAAAGACCTCTTCCCCTTGCTGGAGTGCCTGTCCTCGGTGGCTACGGCGCTGCAGTCCGGGTTCTTGCCTTACAGTGAGCCCGTCTATCAACGATGTGTGTCCCTCACCGAAAAGACGCTGGCGCAAATCGCTGTAAGCTTTATTCACAGGGGACAGTGCTGTGCGGGTCCCGAAAATGTGACCGGATCCCAGAGAATGAGCCTCCAGGATCAGTGCATTTCACTCGGACTTTTTCACACGCATTGAACAAAGCCAAGTTCTTCACTTTGATACATTTCTCGATTTCACTCCTGATGGAGACAGACGTGGTGTTGGTGAAATGTTCCATTTTATTTCTGTTGTAAGCGATTTGTTCCAGGGCCTGTAGCTCAGAATAGCTTGGGACTTGTCTTGTGACTCAGTCACACAACTTATCATCAGAGCTTGCCCCCATTCTTCTCAAGATACCCAGCTGGGACCAATTGGCACTTGTGCCGCACTCTTCCACTGAGTGATATCTTTTGAGATTGAAGATCTCCCCTATAAGGCATAGAAAATGAATGAACTCATTTTGGGAGGAGACTCTTACAAAATACTTGATGGGAGGTTTTGAAGGAAGAATGGACGAATGTACAAGTTTCAAGGAAGTTACTTGCCCTTTCCATGGAAATTTAATTTGCTTGGAATCTTAAGCAGTGATCCCGAAGACATAAACCTGAAGGAGATGGCGGTGTACTTGTAATTTTTCATGAAGACTCCTTTTGTTTTGTTCTTCAGGCATCTGATGCTCGGCCTGATCAAGTGGAGCCTCCCGACAAGGACTTCATGATTGTTGCCCTGGATCTGCTGAGCGGGCTCGCCGAGGGACTGGAAGGCCACATAGAGAAGCTGGTGGAGCGGAGTAACATACTTAGCCTTCTCTTTCAGTGCATGCAGGTATGCCCCCTCTTTGAGAGTTTGGGATTCTAGTTAGTGGCCCTGTGATTGAGAGGTTGTCTGGGCTGTTCACAAGACGAAAAACAGGTAGATTTTCAGTTGAATGTGCACAAAAGCGCAGGGTCTCATGGTGGAGAGTGCAACTGCAGTGTCTCCACTCTAAGCAGATTGTGCTTTCCTCTGCCTGCAAGTCTACGTGCAGAGATCCCATGAGATAATGTGATACCTGATGTCATTCATGTAAGATATCAGGACTGCTGGTTTTGAAATGAATGATGATGCTGGAATATGTTGTACTGTGTCCAAATGTTGCTGAAATTCTGGTGTTGCCAATTTCAAAGTTGCTGCTGTGATAAAACTCCATCAGTGCAGAAGGTAGCGTCGCGAGCAGTGCTCTCTAAATGATGGATCTCCTCTGTTCTTTCATGGTTGGTCAGGATAAGATGCCAGAGGTTCGCCAGAGTTCTTTCGCCCTCTTGGGGGATCTGACCAAAGCCTGCTTCAAGCACGTCAAACCTTGCATAGGTGAGACAATCCGCATAAAATGATTAGGTCCGTCACTAGATTGGAAGTGTGGAAGTTGTTAAACGGACGTGAGTATGCTGCGGGCAGGCTTGCACCCATGTAAGGGGCAGGGTTCCCAACCAAATGCCTTGCCCCTCCCTACTTCCATACAACACACCCCTAACAGTGACAGGAAATTGTTATCCCTGAACCAGTGCATAAAGTAGAGGTTTTAATCTTTCCAAGATATTGCAGATATTGACCAGAGTGGGATGTGAACCCTGAGACCATAGGAATGCCGTACCTGTGTCCCACCAACTTATCTTGCCAACTCTGTATTTAGTCACTTTTTTTGCCACTTTGCTCGCTTTTCTTTGTTTCAATTAACGCTGTTTTCATTTTCTGTGCAGCTGACTTCCTCCCCGTCCTTGGGCAGAATCTGAATCCAGAATTCATCTCGGTTTGTAACAATGCCACGTGGGCCATCGGCGAAGTCTCCATACAGATGAGTAAGTCCGCAGCATGCATGCGTTTGTGCACCCTCTCTCGTCCTCTGTGAGCAAGTTACTGACTGCCTTTTCTTTTTTTTCTCTTTTCGTTCCCAACACATTCATTTTTGTCAAGAAACCACGAGGATTCACGTGCCATTGAATGTTATTACTCATCTTTGATAATCACTCTTAGTCCAGCGTCAAAGCCCATTTGACGCTAACCTTACTCCATGCACCACCACAACACTAGTATTTGCTGTAATCACATGTTGTCCGTGGGTAGTTGTTAAATCGCACCAGCACGTTGTGGGGAAAGTTTTCAAGATGCCAACTTGTGTATTGCTTGTGCAGACTTGTGGCCAATCCTAAATAGGGACTACAAATCCTTTTCGGGGATTAAAATCTACCACTGCGTGGTCTCGTAGAGAGCCAGTGTGCACAGTGAAACTAAGATCGTTCACCCTCGTGACATTTATACATCGTTTTTCACCCGTGAGTTAGCTGTCAGTTGACGCCGTGTTTGTGCTTAATTTGATGTGTCATCTAGGAGAGGAGATGGAGCCGTACATTAGTCTGGTCCTGACCCAACTGACCGATATAATCAACCGGCCGAACACCCCAAAGACTCTGCTGGAAAACACAGGTGGGTGCAGGTGTAAGCAGTCAGGGCGTCAGCCAGGGATCAGATCGTATGACTGTATCTCGCCTAAAAAAGCACAGCTATGTTTATACTGTCTCGTACAGACCTTCTCGAGACCATTCTGGAAATAGCCACAGGCTCGCTATCAGTTGCGCGGAAGCAAAATAGTTTGACAAGTTTTCCGGAAGGTTTGCCCAGACCACCCAGGCTTCTTTGCAAATTCTAGAGCAGGGGTCTAGTGTTTACAGGTGTATCAGTCGTTATGGGTATAATGCATGTATTTCTGGAAATGTCGCTCGAGGTACGGTCTTCCAAGTGGGACAAGACCTCCAGTTGAGACGGACTCAACAAATCCCACATGCTACCTTGAGTCCTCAAAACTAAACAGTCCTAACAGTCTTCTGGCACAGCTTGGTTTTACGCATGCCATAAGATTACATAGATCCTTTATTTCATTATAAATTTCTTTTTCGCTGAATTCAGTTCCAAATGAAACCAACCCATTCAGTAATTTGTAGATCTCTTTGGTTCCCATGGAACAAGCCCAGCCTTACCTTCGTCTCATTCATATTGGCCTTTCATTCCGACTGCAAGGAGTATATGTTGTCCAGAAAGAAGATTTCATAGCAAGTTGCACTCCCTGCTCCAAATACTCGCTGTGACATTTGCTCGAAAACACCCGACCGTTCCGAAGATCATGCCGTGTTGACCTAACCGAGCAAATTCCTTTACGCTTCTATTCTAAACAGAGTTTATCCAAATATTTGCGTATTTGGGACAGTTGGGTTTTTTTCCCCCGGTCGCTGGGTTTGGGGAAATCAGCTGTCATCATGTGATGTAGCCTGATGCATGACATACATGTATATGTACCCTATCCATACTTTGTCAGTCAGAGGTGTATGTCAATATCAAAATTTGTTATGTTATATGGTACTCCTTGAGTTTTTGGTGATTGGACGGTTAAAAAAAGAAAAAAACAATGCCAAAGTTGTCAGTAGTTGAAAGCTAATTAGCATGCTTGTCTTTTAGTCTTGCTTCTATGGGGATGTTGTTTGTGGTGTGTTCAAGAAAATTCCCTCGTAAGCAGGAAGACAAACAGATTTTGGCAAATAGTAATTTTGTGGGTGTCTCCTGTTTATATGGAACGCCCTGAAGTATTTTCAATGCAAAGTATGTGTTTGATTTTGTTTCCATCAACTGATTTTGAGCATTTTCATGTATGTCATGTATTAATTTCAGTCACTCAAAAATAAAGTGATGTAAAAACTGCCGTGCATAATTGTGTTTTTCTCTGGAACGGTGTTACATTTTCTGCTTGTTTAGTCCACTTTGGTCGGAGTTGCCTTGATTTTTAAATTACGGAGAAATTTGGTACCTTTTTACGTTGTTTAGTTAAAAAAAGAAGAAGAAAACTATCCCATCGACCAAGATGGCAGTCGTTTATTATTTTGGTTTTTTCTCGTTTTTTTTCCTTTCTTTTCTCTCCCTCTCCTGCCTGCTTCACTCCTTGTCATGTGACGTAACGTTGACGTGTGATTGGTGGTCTTCACTCTGTTTGTTACCGTAGCAATCACAATTGGTCGTCTTGGCCTGGTTTGCCCGCAGGCTGTGGCCCCTATGCTTCCACAGTTTATACGACAGTGGTGTGTATTCTTTCTTTACGTTTTCATACGATTTCCTGAGCCTCGCGATGCCGCACCCAGTAGACTGTGATGTAGTGTGAAAGATACTGCGTATGATTCACTGGCTTTGAACAGTGTCACCTCTCGATTTCTTTTTGGAAACAACTTATGTGTGTGTCCTTTTTTTTCCCCTAAACATTTGTCAAAGATGCACTCTTGTGACTTTCTCACAGTGATGGTGTTCAACATTTCGTAAGTGTTATGTAAAATTGATTGAAAAAAATTGATAGAAAACCTTTGTGCTCGTCACGTTCTTTTCTGTGAGTCGAGTGCTTCTGCTACACCACAGTCACCGGGAAAGGCAACCCTAGCTCGTTACTCATTCCATTATGGTTCCCCAGTTTTTCTGAAAGGTGGTGGTCATTGAAAGTAACCACTGAAGCGCCTCGCACTGAATTTTACTTGAACCGAACCATACACTTTTCATTTCTCGTCAAAGGGTTTTTCTGTAGGGGGAAAATGTTTATATTGTTCAAGTACTATGTTTTTTCCCTCCTGTTTGCAAGCTCTAATTGGTCATTTTATAGGGATTGATGATGACACTGTCGGTCATTATTCCCCCCTCTGTTGATTGATGTGAGCATGCTTTGTAGTGTGTACGGAATGAGTGGAGATTGAAAGTGTGTCGGGTGGAGGTGTTTTCTGTGTGGGTGATGGGTTATGAATCGTCCATCCACAGTGGGTTTCGCGAAGTAAGCAGCTGTGTAACTGTCAAAGTGCTTACCCCCCCTGCTTGTCTACGGTCACACAATCCATTTTCTTGAGCCAAATCTTCACAGTGCTGTTTGGACTTCTTCACTTCTTAACATGATTTCCCAGAAGTTTTTCGTTATACAAAATTGCTGGAAGAAGTTTTTGTGACTGAAAGCAAAATGGACCGTTCTATTACACTATGATGACTTTTTGAAACGTTTTCGTGCTTTAAATCCTGAATTACTACGGATTCACCAACTGGTGTAGGATTGCCATCAACTGATGGGCAAGTCTAGTATTGTGTTTTCTTTCCTTTTGGTGCTTTTTGTAGGTGCACCTCGTTGAGGAATATCCGCGACAACGAGGAGAAAGACTCAGCATTCCGAGGCATCTGTTCCATGATCAATGTCAACCCTGCGGGTGTGGTTCAGGTATGCCGCCCTCTAGTGCTGGGAGTAGGTTAAATCTCTGCCAAAAGTTAAGACTGTGGCCCGCAGGGGTCCTACCTAAGTACAAAATAGGGAGCCAAATTAGACAAGAAGGAGTTTGGCTTGGCCCGTTTTGATTCCAAGCCTCGGGTAAGTGACTTACGTCCACTTGCCTGTTTCTTTCCAAAGGGATTTGTTGCAAGTTTGTATTTCCTCTGTTCGAAAACTATAAAAAAATGGTGTTAGATGTTCACATTTCAACACCCAGAAGGAGAATTCCCCAGAATCACCAGAGAGGCTTCCTTTGAAGTCTCCACCTACCTGCTTGTCATATGTGTGGACCGTTCACTCAAAACCGAGTGACGTTACCTCACCAATAGTGAATGGAACTCAAAGAGTTTGGTCTTACCAGTCAAGCCTGTAGACCGGCCACTAAAGCAATAGTGGCTGCGTGTGCATGCATTTTGATCGTCTTGCACCTCACTCCGTGTGGTGTCACCTGGTAGTTGAAAGTACTGGTTTTCAAATTGTTTTGGCAGGATTTTATCTTCTTTTGTGATGCCGTCGCCTCCTGGCAGAACCCCAACCAGGAACTGAAGCAGATGTTTTACACGGTAGGCACCTGCTTAAGTTCAGGAATCTGTTGTCATATCATTTTGGAGTGAGATGCGTATGAGGGAATTGAACAGAATGAGGGGGAATGTTTTCTGTGGCCGTTGTATGAGGTGATTCGTGTAAGGGGGAAACTGGTTTCTTATGCTGGGTTTGTTTTTTTGTTTTGAAAAAAAAATGGAGGAGGGGGAGTTGGTTACCGGCGTGGATTTTTCCAAGATGGCAGATGATACTTCTTTGTAATAAAGATATAAAGCAAAGGACTTTCACCCCATCCAATTTGTTCAACCTTGCGTTTGTAGCTACGGACTTTGTCAGATACAAATAAAAAAGTCAAAAGGTGTTGCAGATTGAACAAAATAGGATAAAAGCGAAATAAAGAAAAGACAGAGAAGTGCAGAAAAGGTAAAAGGAGGAGATAGGTACCTAGATTATATTGTTACTCGGCCCCGATGGCTTTTCAATTTTTTTTACCCAAACGATACAAACTGAAGGTTATCAGACTGTGGATTGAATGTAAACGTCTCTCCCTCCATTTGGATGTTGACAGATCCTTCACGGCTTCAAGAATGAGGTTGGAGTTGAAAATTGGAAGAGGTTCTCTGATCAGTTTCCGGCACCCTTGAGAGAGAGACTAGCAGCTCATTACATGATCTAGTATCGGTAGAGAGGAGCTAGCCTTTGTTACCAGCAGGTAAGTGGAGCCACCAGTGAACTAACCCCCCCCAAAAAGGAAACAAAGCTGGAATCAAGGAGTTGCAAAAACAGTTGAGCTAAGCATCCATACTTTGCCACTTGCCTCCACATGGTGCAGTTGTCCCTGGCACAGCATAAAGTTGGCAGAAAAGACTGACTTTAAACGACAAGATACCCAAATCACAGTTCTTTACAATAGTTGGACTTTACAAATGCTCAGCATTTCTTCCCTTCTTCATCTCAGTCTGAGCTTCTGTATCTCTGCGAGCCAACGATAATCACTTGCATGTAAGGATGAGTGTAGAGGTCGCACGCCACTACATACAGAAATTGCCAGAATTGACAGAATTTTTGTGTCACTTTGACACGGAATCCCTCCATGTTTAGACATCATCCAGCTTGAAAGTGGGAACTGAGAGCTACAGCCTGTTCCCGGGAAGCAGTTGGCACAAAACTGCTAAGCACGGAAGTTTGGCTCAGCAAAATGGGTTACCACCTAGAATTTAGTCTTGCGTGGGGATGGGTCTTCGTCTCGTGCCTCGTCTTCAGAGGCACTGGTTATTTACTGTACCATGGTATCTGAACTGAGTTTTCTTGTGTTGGCCCCAGGTTAGAATAAGGGGTCAATTTGAATAAGTGCCCAGTGCTAGAGTTTGTAAGCTGGGAAATCCACTGTTCATTGTGTGGAACGTTACATAAATGTCGTCATGTATTGTTTACCCAACGTTTTCTTGACTATGCGCAATCAAAGGGAATCTTCTTAACAAAGAAAAATTGTATGTAGCTTTGGGAGTGGTAATGCGCCGATTGATATTATGTCGGGAAACTTTCCTTTCAGCTGACATGTGAAGGTAATGAAGACTCCAGTGAGGGGACCGTCCATCCGCATGGTCAAGAACTTCTTATAATGGGGGAATACTCTCAAATACACCAACTTGGGGGAAACATACCTGAAGCAACATTGGCCGAGAGGTAACAGGTCATACGGGGTCAAGGGTCAACTCATGTGTGGAGCCAAGATACTGCATAATAATGATGATGGCGCGCCGACACCCATTCTATCTTTTTGGTATACTTAAGGGATGCAATTGCATCCACTGACAAGCCAGGATATTAGGAGATACATTTCATCGCAACAGTGCTGCCTTCAAGTACTGTTAAAGATTGCAGCCCTTACAACAGTTATACAGACTCAAAATTGGACGCCACAACTTAAAGTTTGTGGTCGATGGTATTTTCACTGAACACACGGCAATAGAGTTTGCATTTGCTGGGGTTGCTAGTAAATTAGTGGGTAAATTATATCATTTCTAGCTTTCTCCCCCGTAGAAAAGAAGGGCTTCATTAGGTTGACATGGTCTGTTTTTGCCGTTTTATTAGAAGTAAAAATGGTAAAAAATAAAATGACCTCTGGTTTGTGGGATTGTTTGGAATACTTTCTTCAAGTCACAACTTCCACTGCTGTTGAAGGATTAACATCTTTCGGCACTGGAAGAGGATGCTACCGTTTGAAAAAAAAAAATCTCTTTGATTGTAGGCTCTGAAAATTGAATTCCAGTAGGTCAAAGCTTATTATCTTCTGGGGCCAACCGAAAAATGAGGTAACCAGCTTAACTGCTGTGCAATGTAAATAGCGCACGAGCGGTGCCCTGCCAGCGTCTTGTGTAAGCATGCAAGTTGGCCAGGTGGTGTTCTCTTTCTCCAAGCTGCCGTGCAAAATTGGGCCCGGGGCATCGCAAAGAGAGAACTTTGGGTTAAGAAGGCAGGAAATGGATTCATTGTACTCATTCTGTAGAAAAACCATCTCTATTAATATCCGCTGCATTTTGTCGATGCTTTTCGATTTTGGCGTGTTAAAATCCTGTTCAAATTATTGAAATTACACAACAGCAGTTTTTAAACTGGGGCATGCAACACGCCGTCATCAGAAAATGGGGGGGGGGGACTTTTTTTCAGTTTTAATTGCCGAAAGTAAAGACAGTTTAAAGAATGCTGTCTGTTTAAATGATTCATGTATCTACCTCGGTGTGGTCTCATTTGTTCCAAGTGTTAACCTAGCAAAAGTCATTTGGGGATTGTTTGTGACTGAATCAGAAAAGAGGATACCTGTCTCCAGGTTAATTAATTGTAACAGTAACGTTGGAGTGCATTCCTACTGGAGGTTCATGCAAATTAATCCCCAAAGGTCATTGTGTAGGTCAACAGTTAGTCACTATCCCCAGTGAATGTTTCACGGCACTATCATGGAAGCATTATTTGGGGACTTTATCAAGTTTCTAGTCTAAGTCGTGATTTCCAAGTGGTCTCGTGTATGTTCTTGTTACGGTGGTAATGTCCAATATGGCTGACTCCAATGGCAATCCATATTTCAGGTTGCATGTGATTGCGCTCGGTATATAGTACTATTAATAGCATGAGTGAAATGGTGAGCAGTAATGTGATTACCGGTGAATGTTTGTGCATGTGTTTCCTATCTTTTCCGCATGATTAAGTATGCTAATTATATTGATATACGCATCTCTGTAATAGTAATTATTGGACTTACAGCATCGTGACCAGCCTGTCTTTTGGCCTAGAGTGCACTCAGAAGGCAAGCTCTTCCCGGTTACCGGTTAGAACTAGTGACTTGGCTCGGGTTCAGTGAGTAACCTGCAGGTAGAAAAGCTTGCATGGGATCATTGGTGTCCATTCTTGGTGATGTCGTAAAGCACGGAAAAGAATTAAAATGTAAGACTAAGACACTATTAGCGTAGGGCTCTGGTTGACGTGGACTCTGCCGGAATGAATGTTGGTTTAACCCGTTTATCGGTGGTGAGAAAGGGAATGTTGGTCAAGAGATAAACTCTGATGACATTTTGACTCTTCTGAGGTGATTTTTTCTCTCATCATTGGGCAACATATTTAAATTTTACATTGGTGTGATCACTTCGGCACATAATGAGAACGAAACGCTGTTTCCCTCATAAGTAGGATCAAGGATTGCTCAAGTACATGTAATTTTGATTCTAAATTTTTTTCTCCAGTTTTTTGGTCTCACAAAAACACATCAGCCACCCCTGTCAACCACTGTTGTGGTGAAGTCCATGACAAGTCCTTTCAAGCCCATTAGGACTTATCTAGTCGTAAGTTGAGTCGAAAGCCATTTGAAATGTGACAAAACTTACCTTTGTCACAGTGCATCCTGTTTACTCGTGACTGGTCTTGGAGAGGGACTTGCGATTGGACTTGTTAGGGGCTTGACTCTCACACTGCTGGTATTAAACAGCAGGCAATAAGTATGTAGACTTATGCGTAGGCAGTTTCAGGACTGAGTTTTTGTTTTTTTTTCAACAGTTGTAGAGAACTTAAGCATTCACTGTAGCTCACAGAGACTAAACATTAGTGTTCTGATTGTGTGTCTCCTTGGTAATTACCTTGGTGATCGTACATCAGACGATGCTGCTGTTATCCACAAGGCTGCAATATTGGTTTAGTATGTCGTTACCCAGAGCACAGTCACTTGGTTTATACGCACAACCCCACTCAAATCATGGTGGACACGTCTGAATTTTTCTGGAGTAAACACAGATCCAGGATGTTGGGCTTTTATCCCCAATCGACCCTGGCCTCTGACTTTTGTTTGTCTTTCTCAGGCGGAAGTTTGTCCCGCGTCAGTACAGCCGAGAGCGGTCCCAAATCGCTTCTGTAAATATTCTTCTTTTCCCCCCACCCTAATCCCCTGGGAAGGTAGTTGCACTGATTTGGGATATGTTCGTCAGTAATCATTGAAAATAGACTACCTCGGAGGCAATTGATTGAGCTGCAGCGGGTTTGGAGTTTGAGCCCATTGGAGAGGGATTTGCCTTGACGACCGGCCAGCTTCGATAAGACAGATTTGCCTGTCTTTCAACCTTTTGCAAAGTGGCACGTGAGGTGTCACTTACAACAAAACAAACTACAGATCACGCTCAAAGACAAAAAGGAGGATGTGAATTTGATATGCCCCCAATTTAAAAATTCCTTTCAAGCCCACAGAAATAAGCTTACCCCCCAGAGGTCATCTAATCTCATTCGGTTCTCTTCCAATCAAAAAGCAATTATTTTGGGTTGTTTTTTTTTCTCCTGTCCATTTCCACAGTTTTTGAGGGGATTGGGAGGGGGGGAGCGTATTACTTACTCTGCCGGTGTGAGTCATTCCCCAAGGGGGGATTAAGGCGGGCACCAGGGAATTTTGGCCAGGGATCCTGCAAGGATTAACCTTTTGATGGAATGACTGGCTTTGCAGGAAGCCGTTGAGCACAGTGTCCCAGTCGATGGGACATTTGGAGTGCCTTGCGGGGGAGCGAAGATTCATTGTTGGGCCTTAGGGGTAGCAACGGTCTGTCCTTGGTGTTGCATGGCTCTGCAGTGAGGGTGAGGTATCCACGCACATTATTAAATGAGGATTTTGCCTAACTGTACCTGATTTGTAGTTATATGGCAGAGGCAAATTGCCATGAAATGTTTTGCTCCCTCCCAGAAAGACAAAATTTTCTTTTACGTGGGTGAATGGAACTGTTCGGTAAATGCTTCAGTGGCATGTCAGTGCTGAAAAGGCCAGTTGATACTCCAGGCACAGACGAACAAGAAGCGAATTCGATGTCACAATATGCTTGCCGTGAAATTCGCTGGAGTTTGATATGAAATTGATGCAGACGTTCAATCCGACGTTACAGTTTTGTGGCTGTGTTCACTTTGGCCCCAAGTGTGAACCAGTTCAGAGAAGGCTCCCTTTGTTGTTATCAATTTCTCCTAATTAGGTTTAGATATTGATACCATAAGCATCTATGGTAAAATGACCATTTAGGTTAGTAACTCCCACGTGTAGGTGGGCTTACATTCAGAATTTTAATGGATTGGCATTAAGTAGTGCAGGTGTAGTCTTGCAGTATTGCAAATGTAGTTGTAATCAAGAACATCATATAGTGTAAGTTGTCATCCATCCTTAGTCAGTTCTACCGAAGGGGAATGGAATGGATGCAAGGCTGTTGAAAGAATTGTTTCCACTGAGATAAATCTTAAGATCAGTTTCTAAGAGAAATATTGTAATATCTTTGTGGAAGGTTTACATTTGGAATAATTAATGCGGTATTAAAAAGAAACGAAGCAATCTCATGAAAGTGACGATTTGCCAGCTTAAAGTGACACTTGTGGTTTGGCTTTAGTCTTCATACTTTGCTCCATCTTTGATATACCTCCTCTCTGATGATTAATTTCCTTAGTTCTCAATTTCCTAAACAAGCAGAACCCTTTCATGGCAATATACAAGCAATACAAGTGTGATCCAAAGATAAAGACTCCAAAATCTAAAAAAAAAGAAATATCATTTGCTCAAGGTATGTCTTTATGAAAAAGCTAAATATACAAGTGAGGAATGGAGTCTGGGGTTTGTGACTGCAGTGATTCTGCGTCTCCTAACATGTAGAAAGTGATCCATTTTATTTTGACATTCCGGGTCATTCATAGTGAAGACAAAAACCTCACGAAATCCTGAACAATGACCTGTATAATAGATATCAGTAATGTGTACTACAGTAAGAAGATGTTAAGGATTTTTCTATATGCATACAAAAGCTGCCATGTACTTCTCGAGTGTATTGTACTGTTAAGTGATAATTTGGTTGTTAAGTGCAAATTTGAGATATTCATGAATATTCATTTTGATGGATTTTAAATTTAAAGGAGGATACTGACGGGGATCTTAATCTGAAGTGGGAATTTGTTTTTATTTTCTCCACGATGCAATGAGAGTCGACAATTTTTAATCTGCTTTCTGGACGAGAAAGGCGCATTTTTTTTTCTCTTTCAGAGTTTCCATCCTCAACAGTAAAGAGCTGGCCTGCCAAATTTTGTACGCCTGGCATTTCCCTGTGTAGACATTCTCCAGGAAATTACATTGATTTGAAAAACATTACTCTCAGAAATTACACTTGGAGTTCATTCCATAATGTTGAAATTGCATAAGCTTTGTTGACTCGGAACATTTCTCTTGTTAATTCCAACTGAAGAGTTTTCTAAGCAATGTCATTCATTCTGTACAAATTGTCAATATTTTTTCATTTCCTCAAAAGCTAGTCTCATACTCTTTAAGCAGTGATTGAGTAATTTTTTTAGACAAAGGCTCAGCTTGCTCACTTGTAAAAGGTCACCGTCTTCTTATTGGGGTTCAGAGTGAGACTCCATTTCACCTCAGTTTGTCTTGGCAGAAATTTGTAAACTTATCGCGGTATTTGTGCAGGTGAACAGCTCTTGTTGGGTGGAAAAAAGATACCAAAATATGTAGAACTTTTTGTCATCTTCATATACTCGTAAGCTACTTCCATTTTATCGTAGATAGCCAAAAGTTACGCCCTGCATGCAGTCAATATTTTACAACGATACTCTCAAAGTGGCTCTCTGCATGTTGTTTACATGTATGACAAATTGAAATACTTCTCACGCAGTGTAAGTACTAACGTGCAGTAATTGTAGTCTCGTAGGCAGGACGTGATGCAAATTCCACCTTCACAGATAAGCAGTATTTGGTAATTTTAAATTTGATTGAATCTAGAATTCTAAGCAATTAATGTGGCTTTTTTGTAAGCAATTGAATGATAGCATTTGTGTGGTTGGAAATGCAATGAATATGTCTGGAATGTTGGAAATAGAAAATAAGAAATCTTCAGCTCTACAAGGCAAATTCTGTGCGGCTTTTACGTTTAAGTTTATTTAGTTCAAGTACATAAACTCAGTTTTTAATCACCTGCAAATAGGTTTATACATGTATACATTGTCTAAGTTTTTTTTAAAGGTTAAAAGTATTAAGTAGTACCTTTAAGTATTAATGTACTAAAAACACAGAGAAAGTCTACAGCTTTTTCACTGCACTCGTTTACTGAGATTTCCAGACCTTAATGAGTAACATGCTGTTGCTGAGTTCCAGTTTTGTGATCGAGTCCATCACAGGTCTTTTTCCCAGGCTTCTTCGCAAGTCCCTTCAGAAGACTAGTCATAAGTAATGGGCTGAGATGACAAAGAAATGCTTTTGTCGCAGTTCACTTTAAACAGTTTGTGAGTTGGCTTACGACTTGACGACTTAAACTGTGGTGGACTCAAACTACAGCACTACCAAGTTTTTGTAGTGGGTCGGAGTCGAGTCCCAGTCGGGGGGCTGAGCTTCTCTTTGACTGCAGTGGAAGGTCTCTGAGGGGGGATGGGCGGAAGCACTTCCTGTAAAACTTGTCGGAAAATAATCATTCATAGAGCGGTTCAAACATCTGGAAGATGTCAGGGAAGCTGTCCTCGTTAACATGTCATCACCAACCACGTCCAACTCGTTCAGCACTCCCTGCGTGGTGCAACTGATGCAGGAGCTCGGCCCGGGCGATAGTCGAGTCCATCGCAAGCTGCTGCAAAGTCCGTCACAAATCTGTCTCGAGGCAAGTCTCAGGCTATTCAAACGAACTGTGGCAGAAACATTCCGTGGCCATCGTTCACTGTCGTTGAGTGTTCTTGCGAAAGGGCTTGTGAACAGACTTGTGATGGAGTCAACTGCAACACTTTGGGCATCAATTCAATCCACAACCAACTTTCAAGTAAGCATGCTCTCTTTTTTGTCCCTTTTTTGTTTTCGTTCATCGCGCAGTGGTTTGTTGAAAGATTGCAGAAAACAAAGATTGCTTGTGTCGTCTGTTTTAAGCATGCACTTTATGCGGAACTAGCTGCAATACGGGCAATTACATGTATTTATACACAAGAATCAATTGGTATGTAAACAGATGTGCATTCATGCTCAGTAAGTAAGTACAGTTGTAAGTAAGTAACGTAAGCAAAACAGTAAGTTTTAATGCTTTCGAACCCTGGTGGTTCATTGCCATGTAAATTTAAAAGTAGGTGATCTTGAGAGGTGTGCATTGACAGGGCTGACCCTCAGGTGAGGTCAAAGGTCAGGAAAGAAGAATGGTGACCCTTGGATACCTGTTTGTTTTTTTGGGGGGGGTCGGTCGTGGTTTTTACCACCATCGGAAGAAGTGATCTGCATTGCTTTCAAAGTAATTCTTCATGCTTTGTTGGTTCTAAGTGCTAATGGTGATCATGCCATGCCTTGCGGAGGTGCTTTGCACCTTCCGCAGTGAGCACTGAATTTTAAGTGCAAATGGCAAATGACAGAGATTCTTCACTTTGTGCATGGGGCCCATAAGGGAGGCCTTTGGCCACTTCAGAGTTCCCCCCCCCCAGCAGCGCTTGAAAGACCGGTTTCATGTATTTACCTTCCTACTTTTCCGACTGCACAATTCCTTTGACAAGTCTGTACGCTTGTGTGGGATGCTAATGGAAGAAAGTAACTTCATGACTCGGTGACAGGTTGTTTCAGGGCATTTCTTGTTCTCAACTGTGGTGAGCCTCATCAGTTCATTGCTATTGGAGGAGTAATAGTTTGGGCAAGAAATTCTGATTCCAATACAGCCTCACTGTTTGTAAAAAAATAAACACCAAAACACAAAATCTTCAGGTGTCTAAGGGTCAAGTAGATCGTAACTTATCGTAAGTGTAGGACGTAAGTAAAGTACACGTAATGTATGTTAACATCAGGGCAGCTTAGGTTTAAGAGGGAGGGAGGGAGGGTGGGTGGATGGTGGTCTAGGGTTAACCTGTGTCTTCATGCTTCTCAACGCTCACTCAACTGATGGTTGAGTAACTCATAGCTACTCGTACTTAGCTGCTCCTGACTCGGTGCAGAAAAACAACCTTGAGACTTTATCCTAGTGTAAACTTATCATTGAGCTCTTTCAGAGAGCCCTTTATCAATATTTAAGAAGACAGTGAGTCCTTCTTGTTGAAGCAGCTTCTTTTCTTGGGATTGAGTGTTGAATGCATCATTGACAGGGTTCTTTACATTTATTTTGTGTGTGTGTGCATGTGTGTTTGTATATCATGTGTGCTGAAGGCTGAGCGTTTATAGGTGTGGGTGGGGCTGTGTGTGGGAATGTGTGGGAGTGTAATTTGTAATTGTCTGTCTTTGTCTTATCTCAGGTGCAACTGTTCATTGTAAAAAAAATTAACGTGTTGAATAATGAAATGAAATGTCACTTTGATTCTTTTGTTGCCAAATTTAGCCATTGGTTTGATTTTTATTTCAATATGATAACCTCCTTTGAAATACATCTCTTGCTATTAAATAGGCAAAACAGAAGTGGGTCAAACTGACTTCAGGTAGTTTTATTTGTTTAGAGATAAAGAAACTGTTGAACCTAAGATTAAGTTGATTTCATTGTTAAAAACACATTCAGTGATCTGTGTTTTAGTATGCCATGGAAATCAGTGTTATGGAATGGGGATTTGTGGCAAGGAATGCATCATTTCCTGCTGTCCTTGCAACGTGCTAGTTCCACAGTGTCAGTATTTTCCCTTGGCCATCCGAGACTATTAATGCATTAACTTGGCCGGTTCTTGTGTCACGTGGGCCGGTTAGAGGGAGCTGGCTGTATGCACACTAGTTGCCGAATACAGCAGAGAGTTTTGTGGAGCTTTCCAAGGGGTTCTCCAAGTCGCTGTTTCGCCTCCGTCTCAGTCAGGCCTTAGGCTTAACTCTTGCAAATTCGGTCCCCTGGTTTGAGCTGTCAGGCTCAGAGCAGCTCAATTCCCAACAACAGGAACATCCAGCTATTTTATGCGAGGCCCAAGTTTACAGTAGTTTTTTGCTTGTTTCAAGCAAACCGATTGTGGCACTCAAGATGTAACAGAAGACGGATACGAAGTACATGCAGGGTTTTCGAAAAGGGTCAAGGTTACCGGCCACATCGTCGTGTGGTGTTACATTGCTTGTCACTGGTAGTCAGCTGATGCTTTGCTCATTAAAATTTATTCATATCCTCAGAGGGCAACTCCTCTGTAAATGTGCCCTGAACAAAGCCGCTCGTGCAGTGAAAGCTTCCCTCTGAAAAAAAAAGACTCAGCTTATCGGGATCCAATGCCCCTTGGGGGTTTCAGCTCAAAATCTTTAGTCTCATTCCTTTCATTTATTCATGGTGGAGAAAAAAGTCGCCAAAAGACCAATTCCTCATTGCATATTCATGGCATACTTTGGTCTCACTGAGACCTTTTCCAAATTCCACAGTGTAATGTATTTTCCCCTCTTCCCCTTTTGCACGAACTGTGTGTGTGTATTATGAACCTCCATTTTTGTATTAATGCTTCAATTGTGTGTGATCTAAATTCCCACGAGCAGTTCTTAAATTGCCGAAAATAATTCTGGGTAAGCAAGAGGTAATAAATGTGAACTTAACCCATTTCAGTCACGTTGCGGGACACTTGTAAACTCAGAATGAGGGAGATTAATTCGGAAGTCAGATTGTTGTTTCGCAATGCACTTTTTCTCGTTTGAGTGACAAAAGCGGCCACAATCTGGTCTGGGGAATACACGGGTTCATCATCAGCCCTCTAAAACCTGCTTGGTCAGAAAAGAATTTAAAAAAAATCATTCTTTTCAGTGTATGGGGACATAACCCTTCTTTGTTCATAAAAATTCAAGACGAAGAGCTTGATTCAAAGGGTGCCTCAAACCTTACTTCCAAACCTGACTCACAGGGTACTGATGGTTAAAGCCTTGTATTTCTCTCTGTGACGTGTGGACATCTGTCTTTGCCCAGAAGGGAGTTATGTGTAAAGTTTAAGGATTTTAACTTGCTTCAGTGTTGTTGATTATTCAGAAGCAGAAAGTAAAGGCAAATGATAACCCAAGTAGTTGATCACTGTAATGTGGGACAGCCGTGCTAAATTTGTGCAAATAGTCTTTTCCCAACCTCTTTCTAAAAATCGTCTTTTTTGATCTTAACATTCGTAATTCTCAGAATTAAGACAGTTCAGAAAAAAAGGACTGAGGATCAGAGAAGAAGAGTGGATTTTCATGCCTCAGAATTTCTGAGGTGTGAAAATCCACTCTCTCCAACTGACATCGGGAATAAGACGAATTAGAGTGAAAATTAGTAACTCAAATAAATTGAGATTCCACCCGAAACTGAAACTTCACTTTATTTCAGTAAACGCTGATTTTTATTCATATTGCATTGCCTGTACTGTCACTCTTGAAATACGAGAGATCACTCTGTGTAGGATGACAAGTGAAAGTATGCCAGCTGACTGGGGAGTAGAAATCTGCTGTTCCCACTGACAAATAACAATTCAGTCATCTAATAATTTTGTATATTGGTACAGAGAAAGGTGTAGTGTTGACTCTTAGTTGGATACGAAGAAAACAGAAGGTCTTTTGGCCCAGAATTGAACTCTAATTTAAAATGTGCTTTCTGTAATTATCCCCGTTTAGAGAAAGGTTATGCAAAACTTCCATTGTCCGCAAGGGGACTTGATTAAAAAGAAAATTGGCAACTGTTGACGATCATCAACTTTTTTGTAGGTCATTAAAATGACCGAATGTCTTATGTGTCGTGACAGTTTCTTGTTTTTATTTTCATGCATACAATTTTTGTATCTGATGTTGAGGATATTTTTTGCTAAGTTAAGAATTTGTGTGAATAAAGTAATTCGGGGCCACCATGTTGTAATAAAAACTGCTATTTTTAGTCTAAGGATATTAATATATTGTAAAAGTGGAAATGATATCCTGTTAAGATATGCACATGTATTTGTAAGTATTATTAAACTAGGGAATGATGTCCTAAGTAAGTAAGTAAGACAATATGAAGTAATGTAATACTTAAGTAAGATAAGTTTATTAACTTCAAGTAATTTTAATTAAATAAAAAAAGTAATGGTAACAAATCATTGCTATCTTGGAGTTGAGTCTGTCATTTGCTTTCAGGACAACGTACATTGTGGCAGTAGTCTCAAACATACAGCAGGCTAGGTTCCAGACTCCAAGATATTTCGAGGGTTGGTTGATATTTCTAAAAGGAAAGAATGACGCCACTGTAGGTGTAGGCCTATACTAAAACCATTGAATCCAAATTATTGATTTTTAAAAATGAATGTGTTTCACTTACAGGTGAGGAAAGTTTTAGCTGGCAATTGTAGAATTTTTTTATCTAGGGAAGGGAACTGAATGCATTTTTTTTGGCCGTGTAAGATGCCAGACAAAGGAGGAAACGTAAGTATTTAAGCAAATTTTTTTTTTATTCTGGAGGCGAAATGTTTGATGTACGTCCGAAAGCTACAGATTTATATTAAACCTTACGCTCTTCCAATCTATTGGTTTTTTCATTGGCGAGTTCAGTGTCTGCTGAACCTACCTTATATTTTCTACAAAAACGCGAAAGGCAGTTAGCTATTGACCGACCTGAACCCACCACCAACTGTGCGTGTACTGGGGTTGGCTTAACCCTGAAATTGTCCCCCCTTGCCCTCCTCCCCTGCCCCTTTCCCTGCCCCTCCCCCTCCCCCTCCCCCTCCCCGACCCCAACCTTGAACCTCCTACCTTCTGTACAAATAATATTAAACCTGTCACCGGGCAGGCCAACATTACGTGCCATACTCTGAAAGGCGGGAATAAATTGCCATTTCACTGTTTGATGTAATCTCGTCAAGCCAGTTGAAGTGCATCGCACCTATTGAAAATACTTAATCGAGCTGTGGAAACTCACCTCTCGTTGGGAAGCGTCTGCGCGGTGCGTATCAGTCGCTAATAATTAACTTTGTACCGTTCGTTCGGTTTGAAGACAAATCTAAAACTGCGCCAAATGCGCTGGTGGGTTCCAGCCAGAGCGTGCAGTGCGTGTATGGCACCGCACGAGAGGCTGCAGCCTTCAGCGCACTTAATCTTTCGGATTTTTCAATTGTCACAAAGGGTGTGGAATGGTGAATCGCTCGAAATTCGTGTTTTGCAAGTGATTTATGTTAGACCTTTGACACCAAAGGAGCATGGTTTAGTTTGTGATTTGTTTAACATTAGATGCTTAAAGGTCTACACTATGGACACCAGATGTATCACGGTAATTCTGTATATCTACATGTATTGAACACGGGAATCCGCAACGCTGTCTTGTGAAGAAATTCAGCGTGCCTGTCTCCTATTCGTCAATCTGTGTTTTCCTAAGTATGGTCTATCTGCTTACTAAAAAATTATGGTCCAGTCGTCTTCAACTGGTATTTTACTCATGTCATGAATGAATCTACCCTTCCACGGCTACGCAGTTAGACCTATGGCTTTGTCGCATTACAGTCGTCAAACAAAAATTCTATATTAATTTGATTTAAACACAGGGAGTTTTTCTTTTCTCTCTATCTCTCTTTTTTGAATTTTACTTTTTTTCTGGGCAGGTATTTGACCTGCTCCGTACTCTGCCGTGCGTGCCAATGACCGAGCGTTTGTCCCTTGCGAGCAGAAATGCAACGTATAGGCAAGGCCGGTGTCACTACATAATGCACTCAGACATGTTGGAAGCAAACTAGCCATGGAAAATATGCAACCAACATCCAAACCATTAATGATCACAGCAGAGGGCTTCGTAAAGATAACCATCCCCAGGAAAATTTAAAGATTTTGGCGAAAAAGAAGAGAAGGGGCAACGAAATACAATGGTCATTAATATGAAAAAATAGTACAGCAAGGTTTATCTGGTATGATTGATCATTGATTAATATACGGGCTTACAGGTATGACTCAAAATCATTATTAACAGCTACACAAATCTGTAGCAGGCTCTGAAAAGTAAATTTCTTTGGAGAGGCAAATCCCATTTCTTCTGTTGTCTGGGATATCTAAAGATGTGGCTTTGAACTGGCTACAAGGAGGGTAAAGATAAACGTGCATGCCCTGTAACCGCCGAACGTATTTTTTGTAAATCGTAAAATGCGTAAGCATCAACGTTTCTGTGGCGAACACGAAATGTAATTGTTGAAAGGTAGCAAGTTGTCCTACGTTATCACGGAGACATGTTTGATAATCTTCCTCTATTATGAGAATAAAATCTGAGTAAATTGTTATTTCTGGACTCGGTTGAGTTGGCGTTCAGTCTCCAAAGCAACCACTTTAATTCAACCACGATCTCAAAAGTAGCGGTAGACACCGCTAATCGGCCGAGACCGTACTGCGCAACCTCCTTGGCACGAGGTTGGCATTCATCGCCAGAAACAAAATGGCGGTCAGCTTTGAATAGAGAGTTTTTGCTTCGCCTGCCCGCTGTTAGTATGTGAGTCATTGAGTTTTGATAGGTGTGAAACAATTCTTCCTCCGTGCAATAGCTGCGAACTTGGACAGGAAACTTGTCAAGGGAAAGGACTCGACAGAATCGAACAGGAAACTGTAACAATAGTGCGTTATGATGCAAGCAAACAGGTATGGACAGATGGAGTGAAATTGGTAAGTCAAACATTTTCGTTTTGAAATGCTTGTAGAATTTTGCTCTTCAATTTTGAAGTAGAGCAAAGCTGTATTTCCCAAATCTTTATGATTTTTTATAATGATCCATTGTTATCTTTCGGTAGATAAGAGCTTGCAGAAGTTAGAACTTAAGTCAAATTATGGCTATGTTGCGGTGATGCATAATCTCACGAGGGATAGTAGTATCGGCCAAGGTAACGTTGAGCAGTGCACAGGGGCGTATCCAGCTTTTGGTGATGGGGAGGGGGGATCCAAAAGCGAATGCGGTTCGGGTTTATTCAACATGATGTCGGGGGGATATCAGAAGCCTTTCGGTCCCAACATTCCTGCTTTTATTTCGTGGTGTTGTTTTCTAAGAGTTATGGTGCTAATATTTGATAAATAAAATAATATTAATACTTTTTGATTAGAGAAATCCGTTTTGGGGGCAAGTTCCCCCCCCCCAACTGGATACGCCACTGGCGGTTCATCATAGCTGACACTGATCAGAGTTTTCGTTTTCCAGTTGGTTATATCAAGCAATTAATAAGTCTAACAACAATAAGCTTTTCTCAGCTCTAATTCTGGAGCGGTTCCAACAGCGGAGATGGAAGGTCGCTTCATTCACACAAAAAATTGCGTTGGGTTGGGAGGCCGTACATACATATTCATAAACACCAAAGCCATGCTGGAGTTCCCGCACCGCTCTTAGTGTGCAATGGGGAATCCCTGAATTGATAATCCTCCTGTTAGTAAAAGCATCCTCCGGGACATCAATAGAATATTGTAAATTATTCTGCGGCGCTTTGCTCGTCATTGCTGGCCGTGAGAGTAGGAAACTGAGAGAGAGAGAGACCCGGGGTCACGGCAGCACCGCTGATTAAGTATTCGCTCTCTATACAGTGAATCGATGGGTCCACTGGCGCCGTAAGTACGTGCACACCAGGACTGCATCAGACGCGATTGCGCTGTTGTGGTAATTATCATCAGTGTCTCTTGCGCTCCGCGTCATCATCGTCGGCAGCCAGCTTGCACAAGCTAGCCCCAGCATCTCCTGCGTCGATGCACTCGCTTGACTATGCTGATTTGCCGGGGTTAATCTTCAGGCGATGCTTTGTCATTCATTCAGCTCTCCCTGCCCTGTAGGTTTCGTCTTCAATACTCAGATGCCCGGTGGTCCAGAACTGTCAATCGACATGAGATGTTGAAATTTGCCGTCGAGTCGTCTTACTATTATTAATTTTTTTTTTGCTTGTGCGCTGTTATGTGGCTAATGGTTAATCTTTTAACCGCCACCCATTTGTGTAACCTGCCTGCCTTGTTTCCCGTTAGTCACAAATTTCTCGTTTTAAAACTCCGGGCGGTTCCAAGAACCTACATTTAGAAGGAGAACTCGCTGACCGCACCCTGGGTAACAAGAGAAGACCTCGTGTTCGACCAGCGCCTTACAAGACTGCGTTGTTGTGGAGAGAGCCTGGCTTCATTGTGCGAGAGACCTCAATTGGCAAGCGTCGACTGTTTAATACCAGCGGATGACTCCATGATGCCCAGTAGGTGAAAGAGAAAAGTGGTGTATATGGTGTGATGTCGACAGTGTTACTGTGTACGCAAGGTATCGCATAGCGCTGAGCCAAGCCGGAGAAGAATTACCAGTCTGGAAACCCGATACTCCGAAGACTGTTTTGACATCTATTCCCATCGGCCGGTTTCTTTACTGTCTCGAAAGACGCCTATTGCAGCTATCCTCTGCGGGGAAGGTATTAAGCCCGTTCATTCTTGCAGACACTTGTAATTTCAAGACGCGGAGTCGCAGGGACCTTGTCGCGTTGTGGCGAAACATCAAATAGTACATGGCTGTAAACACATTGTGAACAGTGTTCTGTCCGATTTCTAGACCATTTTTTTTTCAACTTTATTTTTTTAATCTTGTGTTGCTCGGTATCCTCCAGCACCAATCATCATGTAAATGCGGCGATACGATCTCACCCGTCTCCACTAGAAAGCCAATATCTTACCTCAGAGGCAAATCCATTAGGAGGAGTGGACGCGAGAGCATCTGGAGTCCCCACCGTACCGGCCTCTCGCTACCTCGATCGGAAATCGCCCACTTGTTCTTTTCTTTCTCTCGTAATATCATTGAATAATGGCCTCTCATCAACCCACATCTGGTCCGTCTCCAGTAGGCAACTCTACCGGGAGCCGGACCCAAGCACCGAAGCAAGACTATGGCCTAGATGTCTGGCAGCCAAGGGAAAAGGTAAGACAATAGATTCACCCGTGGTTTTTGTCTGTGTTTGTCTGTTGGTCAGCCTGTCTGGTTGGTGCCTGCCCTTTCTCCGATGTTCACCTTTGCTTAAAAATAGGTACAAACCATCGTTATATGGAAATTGTAATTATACTTCCCTATGAACGAAAAGGCCTCGATGGAAAAATGGCGCGCAATAAAACCACGACCTTCGCAGTGGTCTCTGTCTTTGACGTCTTTTTTTGCGGTTCATGAGACCATCTTAACACAACGTTTTAGTTCACGCGTAAATCTGTTGTGTACTTTGTCGCCAGGAGGCTGTAGCCAAAATAAAAATTAGTGGTCTCTTCAGACGTCAGTAAGAGGCCGCTCGTTACAGGACAGTGAAACAACCAGACTTAGAAACATACACTGCCCGAACAGTATTTTATCATACGCAACAGATTCCACCAAGTCCACTCTGAAGTTTGAGTCTTTGAGAGCCAAAACCTATCAGTGATGACATCAACATTGTTTGAATCTCAACAAAAGATTACTCCAAATGTCTTGGCCAAACTGACGCGATGAGAATGACAAGGAGTCAAAGATATCCCTTACATCTCAGGTTTTGATTAGTTCCCACTCCAGATGGAAATGGGCTGAAGGGCATATAAGCCCTTGTTATGCACCGGCCCTGTGTCTAACCCTTGTTTCATTTTCCCCCCTTCGCATCGTCTTCTCTCCCGGAATTAACGCTGCCGGGGCCTGCATAGACGAATACCTCAGAATTCGATTCTCTTTACGCGGTGAACGGAAATTAAGAGATGGGGATCAATAAGGGAAATGAACCTTGCAGCCTTTGATAGAAGATAATACATGTTCATGTACTTCAATATAAATACCAGTGCAGGAAACCGCTACCAGAAACGCAGGGAAATTAATCTGGGCATGCACTTTATAAAATGATGCAAACAGTGATAAAGGCACGAAAAAGCCAAATTAATTACGGAAATTCCAGATAACGTCTGAGCGCCTTGACATTTCCCAGATCTCCAAATCAGATATTGTTTCAATTATAATTTTTTTTCTAGATCACTACATCAGAATTTAGATTTTTTTTTACTAGAAGAGAAGAACAAGTTACACACGTGTTGTACTTCTGTCGGCTGCGGTTGAGAATTTTGTGAATTCGGAGAATTCTGTGACTAAGCTGGCAGTGCCTGAAAGGTAGCATAAAATTAGTCATGGTAAAAGCCTCTTATTAAGGTAGGACATGGTCCAGAATAGATGTCAAAATTTGAGTGCAGTGTCCCTAAAGGTGAATGCATTCTGCCGCTTGTGTGTAGCGCTTATTTCTTGGATTGATCGAAACAGTCGTATAGAAAATTGAACATTTCCTAAAGGAAAGGGAGAGGAGAAATCCAGGATTTCGATTTGTTGGACCTCATCGTCCAGACTCTAGTGACCAGGAGTAACGATTCCTTGGTTGTGGTTGTTGGCTGATTTCTACCCAGAGATCAGCCAGTCTGTGTTTTGCATTCGAGTTGTACTTTCTCTCACACACCCGTCGCTCTCGTGGCCATGAATGGTCGTATCAATATCCGGGAATCGTTCCATTATAGCTCGCAGTTTTTCTGCACTCTATTGGTCATTGCCCACTGTCAAGTGCTTGCTACCTTCGCTCCTCTCGTGCCCCACCCGTGGTCCCATTTGGCTCCAGACCTTCCTCATTATGGCCGTCTGAGAGATGAGTCCTTTTTCGGTTCTAGCCAACGTTGTTTTTCAAATTTCTCTGCTTTCCAGCATTCCAGATTTCGACCAGCTGTTTTGAGTGTCTATTTTCCAGGTATACATGCTTTTCAATTTTTTTTATAAAAAGCTCACTTTCTGACGAGCGACACCAGCGTATCCTCGGGCGAGGTCCGTGGAATTAAGTCAGCGGACCCTCATGTCCTTGGTTGAGTTTCATGACTGATGACATCCGCGATAAAAGGTGAATTGAAGAAATAGTACGGTTTTAACTTGCAGTGACTCGAGAATTTTGGGCAACACAATCAGCGGTTCATAATTATTCAAAGATGTATATGGAAAAGGCAGGAATAAAGTGAGGCCGACACTTGCCCCGGCCGATGAACCTGACCAGCGATGTACCTCACTGCATTTCCGATACGTTGTCATTTACCATGATAAACCAAGCATACTGGAATGCGTCGTGTCGGGCCCAGCGAGCAACTCCTTCGTCGTTAGTATAACCAGGAAACGCAAGTGTAGCTAGATGACCTGCATAATATGCAGATATTAGCCACAGTGGATTGGCGAGCGAGCAGCTGTTCATCAAGACCTAAATTAGAATTTCATGGCCACTCAACTTCTTAAAGCGACGCCCATTCGAAGCATGGTCGCCGTAAATCAGTTCTGGCCAAATTCGGATTTCAAGTCAAATCTGTGAACAAACATAAATGACTCCAAGCAGATACCAACAAAGCCCATGCCAGCTGTATTTCTTCTTGAACATTTCTCGGGAGATACAAGTGTTGAGTATTTGTCCCGCTTTTCAAACTCACAGAAATTTCACTTCGAAATCGCCCTGACGAGAGTTACTTTCCCACGCTAGGCATGTGGGCCTCTGTCCCTTACGCTTTATAACCGAGCACTTGCATTATTACGGACGATTATGCACTTGCTACACATCAACCATTCCCCCGGCGGGATTTATCACTGTCACCCCCGTCCAAAAAAGGGGCAATCGGCCCTTGATCTGCCCGATATCGCAGCCTGCATAATTGCCATGGTTAGAAGAGGCCAGCAATTCTCATGCAGAGACCCACGACGGAACACAATGCCTGGACGCAGTCAATATATATAATCGTAGGTGCCGGTTTTCTTTTTGTTTTTTGTTTTTTAAGCAAAACGTTTTGTTCCGTTTGCTCCATTGGATCCATGAAATCGGTCGAAAATATTTAATGAACCTCTGCAGTATTGAAATTAGAATCACCAGAATTTTCTAGATGCACTTCCTTGTGTATAGACCACTCTCATTTACTTACAACTTTTAAGGAATGGACGCGACTAATGCTCCAATATTGACAAGAATATAATATAAAAATCAGTGCTCTAGAATATGTGATTGCCGAGCTTTCGGTAACTGAGTACCTTCTTCAGGGCAAGCAGATTCAGTTCTGAATGAACGCAGAAAAATCCACGTTCATTCCCCCTCCCGACCACCCCGTCCATTCTATGGTATATTCCTTTTGAAAGTTGTCCAATAGAATCCCCCTCAATGAACTTGGCGCGCGCGTTGCGCGTCGCAAGCACATAGACCAAACTATCGACGAGAATATAATATCAAATCAGTGCTCTGAAATATGTGATTGCCGAGCTTTCGGAGAGACCATGCGTCGCCATGGTGACCGCTTCGCGGGACACTTGCGCAGTGTGCGCCAAAAATCACCTGGTCTCACTGTTGCGCAGTACTTTTGCCCGCCGCCACATACCCTCGGTGACGTAAGCGTCTGCATCCTGATGCGGAAAGCGTCATCTGATGTACCGCGTAAGGAACTGGAGCAGCGCATCATTTTCGAACTTTGGACGCTGCATCCAGGGGGAATGAACGTGGATTTCTCCTCGTTCATTCAGAGCTGAATCTGCTTGCACTGCACATAGAGTGAGATGCATTGACCGCCGTTTACATGGAACCATGGAACCGGAAGTTAACGCGCAATTTCAGCGATCATCCAATGGGAGACTGTAAATCATGGCGCGTCCGCCTTTGTGACGAAGTCACGAACTGGATAGAAGACATCAGCTTGTTTGCATTCAGAGCGATAAACCGCATGGTCTTCGTTCAGAAACAGAGCAACTATACCAGGCACGAAATGGGACAGAGGGGTAACCCCCCAACGCGTCCAATTCCTATAACACACTCCAACCTATCGTCACTTAAAACTTCCCCCCTAAATGTCTGAAGAGAATTCCTGAGATACCAGTATAACAATGACCAACACAAAGGCATAGGGGGAGGGGGTTCTCTCTGTCCCTTAGTTTGCTTCATATCAATTGCTATACGATCTTTGCTTCATATGTGAGCAACGAAACCGCGCTGAGACTGCGCGTTCTGGCACGTCAGCGTTCTCGTTGGGTCTGATGTCACGGTCTGCCTGCTACGTCATAGACCTTTATCATGATGCTGTCACGTTTGTTTTGTTACCCGTAGACCCATTAACAATAGTAATGCAACTTTATATGTTGATAAAAGAGAACAATCTTTTCTCCCTTCTAACCTCAGTTTGGTTTAATTTCTTTGAATGGTAGAAAAGCAAGATGGTTGCCCCATGACAGAGGTCTGTTGTTGTTAGAAACCAAATGCACTGCATTAGCGCTTTCTGTTGCCGTGCGCATGTGTAAAATGGGCCTTTAATCACTCGACTACGACCTTATCCCTATGAAACTCCAAAACTCGTCAATACAACTTTTTGGTGTGATGTCAAGGTCGAAGAATGAAACCGAACGAAATAACTTGGACAGATATATATAGGATTGTAAGGGATATCAGTTACAGCCGTTGTCAATGCATCGGGCCAATTTCAAATCACTCTGCGGATTTCACTCCGTTTTGTCTCGACTCAGTTTGTTGTGTATCAGTTGTGTTTACTTGAAATGTTGGGCCGGCTGACCAGGCTGGCGCAGGCTGACGCCTGCTAGGCCATCTCAGTTTCCATCATACCGGGGGGGGGGGCAAGTGGCTTCTCCAAGGCGGCAATGTGTCCTTTCAACATATCTCGTTTTGGTTGACATTCACGGTGGATGGAGATAAATCTATAACAATTGATTTCCTTCCCCCGGTTTTCGGCCAGGCCGCATCGGACTAACAGCACCCTACTTTGTGTTGATCCGACTTCGACTTAAGTTGGGAGTACATGTACATTTTGGGATTACAATGTACACGTATTTCTGGTCGAGTGTAAGAATGTAATAACCGAGAGACGCACCAGTAGAAGCCATGGTCCAGAATCTCGCTTTTGTGTTGAAAGCTT